AACTCTCCACACAAATGAAGGAGAATTAAGCATGCATGGAGAGGTCATAGGGCTTCTAGCAGAGTTTATGTAAAAAAATATGAGAAAACCTAGCTGATCTAGGGACCTAGCTATCTGTTATAGATACTGAGGCTCCACATTGTTCAGTGCTTTGTAAACAATCGGGACATACATATCATGGATCCAGAACTTCACTGGAGAGCAGGTCTGAAATGCTGTAAATTTAACCAGAGGCATAATTTTAAATACTTTCACACCCTGTGCCAGAGAGGGGACTCGACCGAGCCTGAATCCTACATTGTTTGGGGTCAGCTTCAGTTTTGGAGGCCCTATTTCAAGTTACATCATATGTAATGTTATACAGTACTGTTTCACTTCAAGTATGTCTGACCTGTCATTCCTACAGTAAGGAGTTAAAATTTACTTTTATAAATACATACATATAGATATAGGGCTAAACTCCAGAAAAAGAAAACAGAAGTGGTAGAGGTTAAGTCAGCAAGGCATTTAAATGTCCATAGCGTAGGTGTAGAGCAATATTGTTTTGAGGGAATGGTGGTCAAATGGAGTTACCTTCCAGCAGCAGGGATAAAGATAAATGAATAAGGGTAATGAATTGCAAATGGGATAAGCACAGTGTAGGAAATTGATATGCAAAACATTGTATATATTATATCCAAATATTGTATGTAACTCTCTGTGCATGTGACTGGTTTCACAACTTGGGGTCATCTATTTGATAACAGTATGATAATGATGAAAGCTTTCAGTTGCATTTTACAGCACCCAGCTAAAACGAAAGCTTACATCCCTCCAGCAGTTCTCCTGCCAACCAGTTTTCCATGCACTTTATCAGAATAGGTGTAACCATTGAAGTGTGTGTTTTCCCAAACTATCCTGCCTCTAAAAGAAGTCCAGGCATGCTCCCAACCTACCCAAAAACCAACCCTAACTGGTTACATCTTACATAATGTTACAGGATAGCTGGAGGGAAGAGATCAAAGGGAAAGACTTGTGTAAAGACAGAACTCTCTGGAGAAAGGGAGCTGGATAAACCACTTTTGGGAGGGAAAAGGGAATCTGGGAATTGTAGTTAATGACTGCAAGAATCAGTCTTTAAATGAACAACTGCCAAGGAGGTTGGGCTCCTCTCCTCTCTCTCTCTGTCTGTTTTGGGGAGGACAGCGCAGCAAGCAGTGGTGCCATGGTGAACTGAGAGAGACTGTCCCAGACTACCAAAGATGAGGGCGCAAGGGGAATATCTTCATTTAAATGTTTAAATATTGTCCTTTTACTATGTATCTTTTGGTTTTGCACTGTATTGGTTATAATGTGCATTGTGTATATCCTTTTTTAAATCTGTAACAGTATCCTAAATCAATATTAACAATACATTTTATTATACACTTGTGTTTGGGTCTTATTTGTCACACTTTCCCTAAAAGAATAGCCTTATAAGAGGGTCATAATTTCTTACAACAAGACTGTACTCAATGAAAGAATGATGGACACCTGGAAACATTTTCCAGAAGTAGAGATCACTACATTAAGGAATTTTAAACATGCATGGGCATACCAGTAACACAAGATGAAAATTTACTTATACATTGTAGGGTATATACCAGGAAGGAACGTGGCATATTAGATGAGCAGAATTTGTGTTATCTGTCATCTATGTCTATTGCCAAATCTATTTTACTTTAGCGAAATAAGAAATGTGTTATTCTTCGGTTTTCCATGCACACGTGTGATATCTGTTACTCCTTATTTTTTTAAACCCCTTTAGACGTGTTACACACAGTGGTGAGCTCAACACGAATCGCAAAAGAGGAGCTGAGTGATTTCTTGAGGAGGACCATTATCTTTCAAAGGCATGGCCCTTTTACGACTTGCCCTTTTTCCACGAAGGCTGGATGCCATGTCTGTAAATAGATGGAGGGCCACCTTTATCTATTTAGCTAAAAACATGAAGATCATATTAGTAGATTGTGGAATTGCCATATATAAGAATACCAATTTAAGGAGCCATCTACTAAACAGCTGAATCTTTTGATCTTTCTGCAGTTTATTTAAAGATGTCCACCCACCACACAGGTGCCAACATTCCATGCCAACCTTCTGGAACATAGGTGGTGGTGAGCAAGCATGCAGGTGTTGGTCCTGCTCGTCAATGGGGACAGTCCTGCACAGCACAGGGGGCAGAACTGCTGGTCAGAGGGGCAAGTCTGTCTGGCAAAAGTGGCAGATTTGCCCATCAAGGAGGTTGGCCATGCTCACTAATACAAAAAAAGAAAAAAAGGTGTGATGTGTCTTTAAATATAGACTCAAATATTTAAGTGCCAATGAATTATTGCATGGGTGTGGAATATAATCCCAATTAACCAATTTTTTGCAAAATAGCAATTATGTGCAATCCAACAAGAAAACGTGCAAATCCAAATACAAAGATTTCTGTGGTGTTTTGGTGTTATAGTGATACATAAATTCAATTTTCAGTGCATATAGCTGTATCTCTTCCACAGAAATGTATAAGGAAAGAGAAAAAAAGTATATATATAGTGTGATACCGTTATATACACAAACAGTAACAAGGTGTCATTATTATACTGATGAATTTCTGCTTCATCAAACACACATTGCATGTTATTTCGATATTCAAATAATGACATGATTTTATTAGCAGCCTTACTTGATGAGAGCTAATAGAAATATATACATACTTATTAGCAGCCTTACTTGATGAGAGCTAATATAAATCCATACATAAAATTGGTTAACTAAGTGGTCTGTGCTTTCATTTGTAATACATCAGAGACATACATGCAAATGTAGGTCTGGGTCTTGTGATTCTCACAATATAAAGCTCTTCACTGTAGGATTTATAGTTTTTAAAATACGACCGTTTGAAGATGGCAACTGCCAAAATACTCTGACCTGTGCCAGGCTGCAGCAGCAAGTGATGTCATAGACAGGGCCTTTTGTACACCTGCTAATGTTTTTATAAATGTATGTTTTAATGTAACTGTGAAGCACTTTGGGCAACAACGTTGCAATTAAATGTGCTATATAAATGATAAGTTACTCCGCCCACTCCAGTTGTAGACTACTGGTGGACGCAAGAACACTTTACACAATTTCCCCAGAAATTGTAGCTTTTCTAGTTTTGTATTGTATTTTAGTGTGGTTTGAGCTATTGCACTTTAAAAGGAGCTGCTTTTTTAATAAGAATTTTTTCACTATAATTTTTAGATTTTGATCTAGTGCCTTTGTACTTGTTTTTCTTGTGCATGCTCACTAATAGCCTGCCCCTTCAAACAGACCATGCACAGAGCTCTGCAGAAGTGTTCCATGAATTGTCCTTGTCCACGTGAAAAGCTCAGTCCCCTCCTGTATCTGCCTTCAGATTTCAAAATGCAGGGCAGATCCCTGGGACTTATATTTGCTGGGAAAGTGCCCCAAAATGTTGTGCTGTACCAGCAAATTTGGAATTGACGGCACCTATGCACCCAACCTCCCTACCTACGCCTTGGAGGAGTGGATCCTCTCTCTGGTGGCCAATGGTTGCCGCTGGAATCACTGTGCTCTTCTTGCACAGCTCCCATCTGCCATGATGCCAGGGTTCGAGTGACATCATATCTGCGGGCACATGAGGGAGCTGTGCAGGCAGAGTACAGTAATACACAGCTCCATCACCACTGTGTGTAGAATTCCATGTGGCTCAACTCTGTTTTTCTCTGTGTTGGCTCATCATTGAAGAAACAAATGGAGATCCTGATGCCCATTATGTAGAAGAGGGGGGTAGAGGGGTATTGCGGGATATAAGGGTGAAGAACATTTGCTAATATATCTATTTTTTACCTTCCCAAAAAGAAATGAAAATGTTCTCAATATATAGTTTTAGAATCTATTTGCCTGCCATATACACCTATATAAACTGTGACTTTTTGCCAAGCATATGTTGTGGTGAGGTTATCACTATTATGTTAACAGTAATTCATTACTAAGGAGTAAATTTAGATGCAAGGGATGAATAATTGAATTTGGAAAAAGTTAACTAAAAGATTGTTGTTTATTTATGAGGTTAACCTAGACAGAATTAAAGCCCCAGGTATAGTACTAAAAGGACCTGTTTGTCAGGAATGTACATAGTCTCCAACATGATAATCGAAGACAGTTTAGGAAAGCTACTTATTACCAGTCCTTAGAGGTGGCTGGGCTTAGCGTATAACATAGGTACACAAAGGTCAATTAACAAGCTGGTGTCAAGGGAGTAACGAGTAACAATAGGTAGAGAAAACAAGCCAAGGGCAGAGCAAGGAGAGATCCATGAAGTCAAGGTACAAGAAAAAGTAAAAAAACAGATAAGCAATAATACACAAGAAAGGGGGGGGGGGAGCCTGACCATCGAGCCGTGCAGACGTATCTGACATGGGCTCACGCCGAACGGGCATAAATCTGGGGCAAAAGCAACGGCTACTTAGCCCAACACCACTCAAGGGTGTGCCACCCACGTCGGGGGTGCCCTCCAGAACCCAACGCTACCACCCCGGGGCCCGTTGAGGCCGGGAGCACGGGGACACAAGTGCAGACTACTGAGGCTGAAGCCGGGGGGAAGCAGCCGCTCTCCTCAGTGCTTGAGCACGCAAGCTACTTCCATTCAAGTTAACCCCCCGCCCCTTTGGACCGGCGGGGGATATCCCAGGCCCCACTGGACACAACAGCCAGGAAGGGAAGCAGACAATCCAGCCCCAAGCCATACTGGGGCAACTAGCCAACAAGGCAATACCAACATGGCCGCCCAGCATAAACACAGAGAGCGGAACACCCGCACCCTGCTACCCCGGTCTCCTATGGAGACATTTGACCGCCTATGCACAAGCTTCAGGGAAACCCTGTAGAGCAAAGGAGCGACCTACCGCCAGGCAGAGATGATGGTAACCGCATGGATTTGAACCGCACCACGACGCAGCTATTATAGGCAGATACCACGAGCATCCAAGATGGCGGTCCGGCAACACAGATACCAGCGGGCCCAGAGAGGAAAAATAGCGACAGGCACATCGGGCGCACTCTCCCACTCGCAAACTAAAACACCTGGGATCACAATGCTAATGATGCAAACAAGTGTCTCACCTGTCCAACACCTCGGCATCCAGTGCAGCAAGAACCGACTCTACACAAAGAACGACGCAACACAAGTGACTGCACAGCAACATACTCCACAGGGTACCAACAGAGCTGGCTCCCGAAGCAAGGCCAGCAAGCCAAGGGACGACAGTGGTGAGACAGAGAGAGACAAAATACTGGACTTACCAGCACTGGGTATTGGCTAAAGCACCCAGTACACCGCCCTACATGGGTTATCTTGGCCTGGACTGGACTGAACTGTTCCGAGCCCACATAATAACAAAGCACCCAGACTCCGAGGCCTCATGCACACACTATGCAGACATACACCCATGCCAGCATTATTTGGTGATCAGTATGATATTTTTTACTAAACCTGTTCCCAGTGGTTTAACACTTAGTGCTGACCTGTTGTACTACAGGGCAATCTTACCTTGAGAGAATAGTGATGTTACTTTACAATATAGGCAAGTTTTAGCAAAGTTATTCACAAAATGATGCCTCATAGCCTAAACACAGCATAATGTTTCTATGCATTATTTCGTAACTAGATACTGCTCTGCTTTAAAATGTGTTCACAATATATCTACTATAGCATAGGTGACCTAGCAATGTTAAGCATCCAGCATCTTTATTTTATTTTACTTTATTTCACTTACTCGGGCAAAATAACTGTTTGGCTAAGCATGTCAAATATAAAAATTGTGCAAATTATCATGCCACTGTCTAACTTGTATGAAACTCGAATAACGCTGTTGTGGCGTCTGTTGATCTATTGTGACCATCTGCACAACAAAAATAAAGAATTAAAAAAATAAAATAAGATAATACACAAGAATGCACTCTTGGGTTACTAAAGACTACTAGAGGGCACAGATCTATGCATCAACATTGATGCAGGAATGGTGCACTGTACCAAATGAAGAATCCTGACACCTTTTCTCAGAAATCACTTTCTCAAGCAATGTTTCTAGAAGAACAGCATTTTCTTCTCTGCACACCATGCCTACAGGACATATATAAACATGTTTATGAAGGATCTTGCTGGAAGTGTATTTCCTATTCAGAGAGTTTTATGAAAAACTGAGTCATAACTTCAGGCTGAAAAAACTATTTCATTGACACATATTAAACTATATGGTTTATGTTGCAGTATGAGATACAGTATGACCTTAAACCATGTCCAGGATCTCATAATTAATGTTTTTATGTGAGCAACTGGCTGCCTTTGTGGGTTCGTCTAGATGTCCACTACTACCCTGTCTATGAAAAGGGGGGTCATCGGTAACAGAGATATGAGCTGTCACCATCCCACAATGGGATCAGAATTCCAACAGAAGTAAATTGAAATATGCCGCAAGATTCTAGATAAGAGACTATCAAAAAAATTCTGCAAGAACCTGAAGTTTGAGATCATAAAGCAGTTAGAGAAGATAGCAACATCTAACTTCTTTTTTTAGACACAATGCCGTATTTCCCTCAGTTATTGGAAAGTTCAATATTTTTGCTAACAATATTTCAGAAATCTTTTAAAGGGCCAAGAGGTATTGTTCTAGACTTGTCACGGTCATAGAATCTACATGAAAGGTCTATCTGAAAGAGGAATGTTCTTCGGAAGACAAAGAACTTAGTCTATATATAAACTACAGCGGGTGGAGTCTTCCGTAATTACACAGAATTATTTTTTCAGGGAAACTTTGAAGTTCTCGTTTTACCTGCTTGTGACCTGCAGGGCGTAAGCTGTTACTGGTGTAAATTCCAGTGGTAAATTTAATCTCCCCCAAAACATAATCTATATATGTAGAATATTGCATATTCTATATGTTCCTATTCAAATACATATTAAGGTGTGGCGGTCTAATAGGTTAAAAAGAAAAGATGGTGTTTTCTATTCTGTACCATGAGGACTCTGGAATGTGTTGGATAGGGAGATGGGGAGTCCTTATATGGGGAGTTTCCTTATGTGGCCAGAGTCTAAATTAAAAGTTATGACGTAATTTTGCCTATAAAGGACTGAGGGAAAAGGACCACGTTTTCTTCCTCCTACGATCCGATCTCCTCTCCTAATATGTACCTGACTTGTTGATATTAAGACGACTACTTAAGATCTCTCACTCTCTGTAACGTCGTTAAGAAATGCCATCTGTTAAGTATATTATTGTTTTCTTTTGAAGTAGAATAAATGCATAGTTTTTATAAAGAACATCAAATTAGTATTAGTACTTTTCATTAATACAGACATATATTAATGTGCGAGCCTTTGACCCAAGAAGAAATATCTATTAATCAAAGACTTATTCAGAGAAATTAACACAGACCAGTTATTACAATATCATTGATTACAAAGTAGTAGGAGCTTTTTCATAGGCCAACATACACCTGAAAAGCTTGTGAATCTGTCAAGCCTGCTGTAAATGCAGGCTGGTTTTTGTGCATCATGTTTAGACTTTAAATGTCCACAGGTACTAAGGTGGTAGACAATTGAGTTTCTTGTGTTTGATGATCTGTTTGCTTGACTGGGGTCCTTCTGGAGCTTTTTCACCCAAATAGGTTGCAGCTCTCCTTCCAGGCAGGTAACATCCACTCTGCCAATTCTCCTGTAGTCCTTCTTCCAGGCAGGTATTGTCCCCTCTGCCTATTCCGCTGCAGCCCTTTTTGCAGGCAGGTATCCACCTCCGCCTGCAATGGGATTTATATTGCCTTTACAAAGGCACTTGTTGCTCTCAGGCCTACCTCTCTTGATTTATTCCAAGGTTAGGAGATCATGCAGCCAGCCAACAGGTACGACAACTCTATGGCTGGGATCCCTAAAATCCATACAGGACACTTCCAAATGGAACTAACATACAAAACTTTATTTTTTTTCTTGGGACTGGCCCAAATGCTCCCCTCATGTAAATTATGGTGACAATTCAATGAAATTACAAATAATCAAAACAAATCAGAAAACATATAGGGAATTATAATAACAGAATAACATATCTACAAAGGGGTGGGGAAGTCAATAACCAACACAAAATATCTCTCTGCCTGCAGAATTAGCAATATGCAAATCTACCTAAAAATGCAAATTACCAGCCTTGCTATTCAGGTAGTGCATATTGCTGTTGCCACCAACAGAGGGCACTTTACAGGCTCCATAGCCAAATCCACAAGTTGATAACAAGCATCAGCAGGACAGGAGGGAACACAAAAAAAATTAACAATATACAAACACATAAACACCCTGCACCTATAATGGGTACAGGGTGACTTAGACATAGGAACAATTTAGGAACCTTTGTAAAGTGTCCTTCTGCTCCATTATATTATTAGTTTTTTAGATAACATGACCTTGCTACTATTATTACAGAGCAACAGTCCAAGGACTGGTGTGCAGCTCAGATGCATACCAAGGGCTCAAAAGTCTCCCGCTACTAGACAAGCTGAAAAGGTCCATGGCACATTCACAAGGGGTGAATTTTCACCTGATAATGGTGGGTGGAAATGTTATACCTTTTGTATATGTCAAAAAGAATACACATATAATAATAATAGTAGAGAGCCTTCTGTGGGTTGCCAAAAAATAAAACATATAAGTTCATTTTTATTTTATTTTTTGATGAGAAACAGTTGAAGGTAATTTCACAACATGACAGGAGGCTTCATATTTGCTTTAACTTTCTTTACTGCATTTCCAACAGCAAAACCAAGTAAACATTAACCAACCAGAAACAAACAAAAAAACAAGGGTATAAAATGCCTTCTCACAGGAAGGACCTCCTCTATTTATACTGCTCCATTCCAGCTAACCGGTCAGAGTATTGTTGTCTCCTCACTCTGTTAGTATATTATTCATACTGTTTGAATGAAGTTTAGTTTTAGCTAATTTCCTGTCTTGTGATTCAGTTCACTTTAGTTTGTGTGGGTTTAGAGTGTGCCTTTATGTCATCCCCATCTCTTGGATTTTACTCACCCCATTGCTTTATAAATAATCCCCAGTCCTGGTAGAGCTTTGAGGGTCTGTGTGGCTGGCTGTTTAGTGCTACTCTTTGGCGCTCATTTTTTTAAAATCGATTTATTGTTTTCTCACCTTCCTGGGCCTTTCTCAATGCATTAGACCTTTGCTGTTTGCCTTGTGTCTTGCGAGATTCGCAGCTGGCATTTTGTTGGAGCTGTGAGGTCTCAATACTGATGCGGCAGCCATTTTGTTGGACTCACCAGTCAGTATAAAAATGCAGTGGCCATTTTGTTGGAGATGCACCTTGCATATTTGACACTGACATGAGACAGTACATCTTCTGGTTCGCTTAACCCCTTAAGGACACATGACATGTGTGACATGTCATTATTCTCTTTTATTCCAGAAGTTTGGTCCTTAAGGTGTTAAATGGACTCCTTTTATCATCTATCCAAATAATTTTTCAGAGACCGCTCCATTACAGAGCCAAGCAACATCTGAAAGCCCAATATCTCAGACGATCAGCGTCTTAAGATCAGCTGATTCCATTAACAGACGATGTATGCATCAAACATCCGGATGAAATTCGACACCAGCCTTCTAGGTTGGGGTGTTACATTCGAGATTGGGTCATCAGGAGGACCATGTTTCACTGTAGCATCTTCATTACACATCGACTGTTTAGAGTTGATTGTGGAATCTTTTGACAGTTTTGCCAGAGGGTTATCGAATTATTGCATCTTTTTACGGATGGACAATTTCCCCACTATACGTTCAATCGATCATCTAGGATGTATGCACTAATGCATATTGGCAGACTTTACGAAACATTTAATACATTTTTGCCTAAACAGAAACATATCCCTCCAAGCCGAGTATCTACCAGGCACCTTGAACCTGATGGCAGATTGGACAGATTGATCTTCTGTGAGATCTCAGCTCAATGGGGCCTTCCACCAGGACTTGTTCGCTTCGAGGTTCAACCACCAGGCTCAAGATTTTCCCAGCTGGCTTCTGGATTGTCTGGCAGTAGATGCTGTTGTGTTTTCTGTAGGTCTTGCAGAATAATCAATGCTGACGCTTACTTCATCTGAACAGCTTTACTTCCATAAGTCACAAAACATAACTTGCAGAGTCACTGCTAATCTCACAACATCAAGTGCTCTCCTAAAGCCTCCTACCCAAGGAATCCCCCTTCCTCTTAAAGCAAAACAGTCCTTTAATCCTTTAATATACACATATCACTACAGATGCTTTCCTCCAAGA